TGCTATTGGGATGAAACGTACAAAAATAAAAATTTTCATGAGTTATAGTCTATGAAAATTTGAATTTTGAAGTAAATGTACTTATATGTCATGGGTTGAAATGGACAAAAAATAAAGAAAAATCGTGAGTTATAACCCATGAAAATCATGAATTTTGAAATAAGCATTCTTAATTGTCATTGGGCCAAAACAGATAGAAGTCTTGGGTTATACATCATAAAAATTGCAAATTTTTAAATATATACCATTTTAGGTGTATGTACCTTTTCAAAAAAGGCATCACTTTTTCTTTATGTCATTTATAAAATATAGTGCAATAGATGTGTGGCTCCAACCTCCAATGTTATTTTCAAGTCATTAAATAGTCTAGAATATTCTTAAAGAAAGAGAAAATCAAGGTAAGAAAAAAGAAAGAAAAAACTTCTTTATAAAATTACCTTTTACCCTTTGAATTACAATGGTAATGAGGACATGTCTACCCCTCATCCAAATTTTTGACTACCCATGCTTGGTTTTTTATATAGTAGTGTGTGTGTGTATACATACATAGTCATGTCCCTGTTACCAACATTTTAAAATTTTATCGTGTCCTATGTCCATAACCATATTCATATCCGCACTCGTATCTGTGCTACCTAGGTTATATCTTATGAGAATCGCAAATTTTGAAGTGAATGTTCTTCATTATCATTCATTAGGTAAAAACTTACAACAAATGGATAAAAATCGTGGACTATAACCAATATGAACTACGTGCCATTTGAGCTAAATAGATGAAGATGAATAAAATTTTTTGAGTGATAGCCTATGAGAATTGAGAATTTAGAAATACTCGTACTTAGTTGCTCTTGGGTAAATGAACAAAAATCTTGAGTTACCTATGAAATCGCGATTTTTGAAGAACACGTACCTTTTTGTGTTTTGGCTTGAAATGGACAAAATTTGACAAAAAGGTGGGTTATAGCCTTTGAATATTGTGAATTTTCAAATATGCGTACATATTTGTCATTGGTCGAAAGAGACAAATTTAGATAAAAATTATGGATTATAGCTCATGAAAATGTGCAAATGTTTAACTACGTGCCACTAGGTTGAAGTGGATAAAAATAAACAAAAATCATATGTCATAACCAACGAAAATCAGGATTTTAAACTATGCGTACTTGATTGATATTGGATGTAAATTGATAAAAATAGACAAAAATTGTGAGCTATAACCTATGGAATTGCGAGTTTGAAGTATGCGTAATTGTCTTTGGGTTGAAGAGAAGCCAAATTTGGCAAAAAACATGAGCTATAGCCTAAGAAAATTGTGAATTTTAAGTAAAACTACTTGTCATGTACTAAATGGACAAAAATCATGAATAATTGCCCATGATAATTTCAAAATTTTAACTATATGCCATTAGTTCTAAACAAATAAAAATCGACAAAAATCATGGGTTATAGTCCATGGACACCAAAATTTTGAAATACGCCTACTTAATTGTTATTAGGACAAAATGTACAAAAATGAATAAAAATCGTGAGTTCTAGCCAAATCGCGAATTTCAAAGTATATCTACTTAATTGTTTTGGGTTGAAATGGACAAAAAATGACAGAAATTCGAGTTATGATCCATGAAAATCATGAATTTTGAAATAAGCGTACTTAATTGTCATTGGGTAAAAAACAGATAGAAATCATGGGTTATTAACAATGAAATTTGCGGATTTTGAATATGTACCATCAAGTCAAAACGAATGAAAATGTACAAAAATCATAGGTTTACCCATGAAAATTGAGAAATTTGAGCTTTGTTTATTTAATTACTCTTGGTCGAAACAAAAAAAAAATCATGAGTTAATTGCGAATTTTAAATTATGCCTCATTTGGTCAAAACAGATGAAAATGAACAAAATTTGGGTTATAGCACATGAAAATCGGAAATTTAGAATATGTGTACTTAATTGTTATTGGGACAAAATGGACAAAAAATGCACAAAATCATTAATTGTAACCTATGAAATCATAAATTCTAAAGTACACGTACTTCTTGTTCTTTGTGTTGAAATAGACAAAATTTGATAAAAATCATAACTATAGTCCCTGACAATCACAATTTTAAAGTAAGCATAGTTAATTATTATTAGGCTGAAATAAACAAAAATGAAAAAAAAAATCATGGGTTATATACCATGAAAATTATGAATTTTGAACTACGTGCCATTAGGTCGAATCAAATGAATATGAACCAAAATCATAGGTTATAGCCCATGAAAATCGGGATATTTAAGCTACACATACTTAATTTCTATTGGGGTGAAACGAGAAAAATAAACAATAGTTAGTGAGTTATAACCTATGAAATAGAATTTCAGAGTACATGTACTTAATTGTTTTTGCTTTGAAAATAGACAAAATTTGATAAAAATCGTGAGTTGACAATGAAAATCGCAAATTTTGAAGTAAGCATGCTAAATTGTTATGAGGTTGAAAATGACAATCGGTCAAAAATCATGGATTATAGTCAATGAAAGTTATAAATTTTGAACTACATGCATTTAGGTTGAAACATATGAAAATGAACAAAAAATATGAGTCATAATCCATGAAAATTGAGAATTTGAACTGCGCGTGATTAATTGTTATTGGGTCCAAATGGAAAAAAAATGAACAAAAAACCTGGTTTATAACCCATGAAAATCGTGAATTTTAAATGAGCATACTCAATTGTCATTGGGTTGAAAATAACAAAATGAGATGAAAATCATGTGTTACATAGTCCATGAAAATTGTAAATTTTGAGCTACGCGCCAAGAGCAAAACAGATGAAAATGAACAAAGATCGTGGGGACACATGTAAATTAGGAATTTTGAACACATCTACTTAATAACTATTGGGAAAAGTGTGGGTCATAGCCCATGAAAATCAAGAAATTTGCGCTATGATCATTAATTTCTTTTGGGTCAAAATAGAGAAAATGAAATAAAATCATGAGTTTATAGTCTATGAAATAGCAAATTTTGAACTATGTGTCATTAGATTAAAACTTATGAAAATGAACAAAAATTGTGGGTCATAGTCCACGAAAATCAAAAAAAAATATGTGCACTTAATTGCTATTGGGTTAAAATGGACAATCATAAACAAAAATCATGGGTTATAGCCTATAAAATTACAAATTTTAAAGCACATATACTTAATTTTGAAGCAAACAAAAATGGACAAAAATTGTGGATTGTAGTCCATAAAATCTGCGATTTTTAAGCAAGCATACTTAATTGTTATTAGGTCGAATCGGGATAAAAATCATGGATTATACAAATTCTAAGCTATGTGTTGTTAGTTCGAAGCAAAAAAATAAAAAAAATAAAAAGCGGGGGTTATAGCTATGGAAATGGAGACTTCGAACTACATACTAGACCGAAACAAATAAAAATAAACAAAGATTGTAAGTCATAGCCCATGAAAATCTAAAATTTTGAACTACACGTATTAAGTTCTTATTGGGTCGAAGTGGATCAAAAAAAATATACAAAAATCGTGGGTTATAGCCTATAAAATTATAAATTTTAAAGTAAATGTACTTGATTTTCTAAGGTTGAAATAGACAAAAAATCGTGGGTTATAGCTTATAAAAATCTTGAATTTTAAAGTAAGCGTACTTATTGTCATTGGGTCAAAAAGGATAAATATGGACAAAAACGTGAATTATAACCCATAAAAAGTGCAAATTTAAACTATGTGTCATTAAAACGAAATAGATGAAATGAATAAAAATCATGGGTCAAAGCTCATGAAAATTGGGAAGTTTTGAACTACGCGTACTTAATTGCTATTTGGTTGAATTGGACAAAAATGCACAACAATCGTGGATTATAGTGTATGAAATCGCGAACTTTTAAAGCGCGTACTTAATTGTCTTTAGGTTGAAAATTATCAACATTTGATAAAAAATTGTGGGTTTAACTCGTGAAAATCGTAAATTTTAAAGTACATGCATTTAATTATGTTTTGATTTAAATAGGCAAAAACTAACAAAAATTTTGGGTTATAGCATATGAAAGTTGCAAATTTTGAAATGTGCTTAACTGTCATTTGATTGAAGAGGATAACATGGGACCAAAATCAAGGATATAGCCCCATGAAAATTGCAAACTTTTAGCTACGTGTCGTTAGGTCGAAATGAATGAAAATAAACAAAAATCGTGTCTTATAACGATGAAAATCAGTAATTTTGAACTACACACTTAATTTCCCTTGGATCAAAATGGACAAAAATAAACAAAAAGCATGGCTTATAGCCTATGAAATCGCAAAATGTACACTTAAAAATATACAACAAAGGGACAAATTCGAGGATTATAGTCTATGAAATTTGCATATTTTGAATTACATGCCATCATGTCGAAACTAATGGAAATGAACAAAAAAACGTAGGTCATAGCCCCATGAAAATGGAGAATTTTGAATTATGCGTATTTAATTATTACTAGGTCGAAACAGACAAAAATAAACAAAAATCGTAGCCTATAAAATAGCGAATTTTGAAGTACTTGTACTTAATTGTCCTCAAGTTGATCTTAGGAAAAATCGTGGATTATATAGCCCATGGAAATCATGAATTTTGAAGTAAGTGTACTCAATTGTCATTGGGACGTAACTGACAAAATGGGACAAATCACGGGTCGTAGCCCAAAATAATCAATATTGTAAAAGATTTTTCTTGTTCATGTAGAAAGTGGCTACAAATTGAATGGCCTAAATAACAAGTTGCTTATTTAAGATCTACAATTTTTCAATCCCACCCCAACATAAAGTGGTGTACATGAATTTTTCAAGTGTTTATGATGATGATGATGTGATGTTTAAGTTTTAAATTTATGTCTGACACCATATATCTACAGAGGTTTCCTCTTTCAACCGTTCACTTTGTGGATACATGGGGCGAATTCAAAAGCCATTGATTTTGTTTTTAAGACATTTTAAATGATGCGTATCAATGTTTAGGGAGTAAATCGTTCATTTCAATCACCTAGCATTGAATTTTAATGGGAAGGCTTAGCTCCAAGTTCTTTCAGGAGTGGCCAAGCGGAAAGGGAGATAAAGCTGCAAGAGAGAGGTAGGAGAACGCCTACCTCGGTTCTATTATTAGGGATACATTCATCTTCCTATTAAGCGTAATAATCCCTTTTGGATAATCATCAGTTTGGTTTAAATTTTGATAATTGGTGCTCACTGCTCACTTTCTTGATATCGAGATCTAGAGATCTTTGGATCTCAAGGATCTCAAACTGGATGTCTCTTATGAAATACAATCGAAATAAAAGAAGTGTTCTATGTCAAAGTTTATACTTTGTTTGGTTGTGATGACCCAGGGAGGTCTTTAGTTGAGTTTGTGCAAGTGAAAATGATGTCCAATATGCTTAATGCACCCTTCAACATGTGGAGTTAGAATAGACTCTTCACCTTGTAGAGGTGTTTATATTTTCATACTTAGCATACATAGTTGGTAATTTAGCTCTTGTTTCATCTTTCTTGATTTATCTATTAAAAAGAGTTATTTACTTATTTTGTGTTCTTTTTAATTTGTACAGTGCAAATGAAATCACCTTTGAACCATACGAAACTGAAATAACAACTCAATCAACCCCATGGGCTATATCTCTTGCAAAGCACCTTCAGTCCATTGGTGCTAAGATGTATGGGGCTTTCTGGTGCTCTCATTGCTTAGAACAGAAACAGGTTCCACTTATTTGATTTCTCGGTTTGAAGATCATACTAAGTCTCATAATCAGTGGGTATTCCTTGTTAGGATAATCAATATTACAATTTTGGATATTGATCTTCTTTTTCCTTCTTTTTTTTTTTTGGTTGACAGATGTTTGGACGTGAAGCTGTGAAAATACTGGACTATGTCGAGTGCTTCCCTGAGGGAGCTGGTAAAGGGCGGAAAATGGCAAAGATGTGTTCAGATGCTGCTGTCGAAGGTTTTCCGACATGGATTATAAAGGACAAGGTATAGAAAATTTCATCTGAGTACTATTTATTTGTATTATACTTTTATATATTTCCATTTGTGAAGAATAGAACTACAACTAGTTACTACAACTAATTGGCTATACGGTTTGAATAAAATTATTTGGACTGTATAAGGTTGAAGCAATGCAGATAGACAAATATTGATCATTATCACCATACTGTATACGTGATAATTATTTCTGTTATTTGGATATGCAGGTCAATCTGCATATTTTGTATATTTAATGGATATGGATATGGATATGTTCCTTTTTTCCCCTTTTTTTTGTTTTGGCCCAACTAAAAAGGAATTCTGATATGTACATTGATTGTATAAATATCTTATATGATGGTGAATATTTTGCAGGTTTTGAGTGGGGAGCAAGAACTAAGTGATCTTGCAGAGGCATCTGGATTTTCCCTCGAAGATGCAATGGAGTAGAAATTTTCAGATTTTGAGCTATTTTTTCAGTCAATATTCCCCATCTTTGATGAGTCCCCATTTCTTGAATCATTTTGTAAATCATTTTGTATTCATTGAAGAGCTAATTAAAGTTTACATCTACCACGTTTAATTTCTTTGCTCATATCTGTAATATTGTGCATATTGTACAGAATCACTAGGAGACATAAAAAGAATTACTATTTAATTTCAAGCTGCTAATATCAAATAATGTAGAAATCAAGGCAAAACTCTCTCTCTCTTTACTTCTATGTATTCTTGTTCGAGATCAGTCAAGGTCACCCTATATAAGGTTTTCATTGATCAAGGTGTCGACCATCCTGCTTAGTGTTTATCTACAAAAAAAATTAAATTAAATCAGAAAGAACAAATTTTAGAATGACTGTACTATCTTGATCTAGCTATCATGTGACCAAACATTACGAAAAATAATGTAAAGTTCATGTGCGGCGAGCTTTAATCGTACGCTCCATAATCGTGGACCATTGGTTCATAAAGCACAGGGAAGGGCGGAGACAGAGTTAAATAATTTGGCTCTTGGTGTTCGTAGATGTTATGTACTATTGTAAGGCTCAACCTATGGAGCTAAGCATCTTTTTATCTCTTGTCTTCTGCTTTTTTTCTTTTTCCGTCCTTACTTTATGAGAGGCACTAGGGACACACATTCTACTACACTCCCAACCATACTATCACCTCTCTTGCTACAGTACACGGGGCCTACATGAGATTCCGTTAAAATCTCATGTGAGCCCCGTGCACTGTAGCAAGAAAGGTTGTGTGGTTGAGAGTGTGGTAGAGAGCGTCTCCCTATCATTATTTTTACTTTATTTAGTTTCCATTTTTTTTAATATGATGAACAAAACGCCAAACAGTCTTAAAAAGAGTTACTACTTGCGGATAGGCCCCCAGAGTATTGCCTAGTTGTCGACTCACTCCAATTCTATTATTAGTGTTGATGGACCCATGCACTATTTGGTGAAGCGTACTATTTGTCCGAGTGTTGATAGACCCCATCAATGAACTCGATCTTTTAAGGGCCAAAAGAGGTGAAAATCTAATGAGGGTCTTTCCGCCTCTACAAAACCTGATTTAACTCTCTTGGATGAAAAATTGCTTACGGGTTTAATCCGCAAAAATTAGTATATTGGTCCATCCGCAGTTAGGCAATACTACTGGAGATCTATCTGCAATAAACCCTTTAATGAAATTCTTATTTGGTGAACGGATGCCATGAGATTTGTTAGACTATAGTCATACAAGTTTATAACAAATAGAAACTCTTAGATTAATAAGTTTACTAGTATTCCGGTGCATGTGATGCGTGCATGATACGAAACACGGATGAGTGTCATAGTCAATGTACGTTGATGATTTCGTAGGTGTGAGGGGCATATTGTATTAACTTTCCAATTGCCAAGGCATTTTCTATGTTTTGCTGAAAGTATGTCCTCAGTGTTCATCGAGTGAGGACATTGCTAGCATTCTGAAAATGTGATTCACACAAATTGAAAAAGGGTTTATCTCAATATACAATATAGACTAATAACCTAATGGTTGTAACTATACATTGATTGTTACTCCTTGCCCTTTTTACTTTTGCTCAAAGAAAGTCGGAGATTACTGAGAAACATTATTGTTCTTTCATTGGGTTATTTGCACTCAAATACTCTAAAAATTTATCCTATTTTTAACTCATATATCCCAAAGTTTTACTTCTCCGAAAAATGATCCAAAGTCACACAATAGGACTTTTTATATTCCGACATTGTTTCTGGGCCAAAAGATGCTCCAAATTTCAATAAAATTTAACTTTAATACTTTCCACAAATTTTTTTTGACCAAAGCATAACCAAAGTACAACAAAATTTTAATTATGAACAAAATGACTAATTACTCAAAGTTTTAAGGAACTCTTAATTTTCCCCTTTACTAATTTTCTCTTTTAAACTGCCTCTATAGGTTTTTCGAACATTATCATATCCTCTACCTGTAATATTAAAAAGGGTTAATTTTGTAAAACCTCCTGAATTATGTTTATCAGGATTCCCACAACCAAAAAAAAATCTATTGGGTGTCTCACAAAACCTCCCTGAACTTCCTCTTATCTTTGCTTATCTCACCTAGCCCCTTGCCTGTAATTCACAAATAACTAAAATATCTGAACTTTCGCTTACCTCACCTAACCCCTTTGCCTATAACTTACAAATACTAAAATATCTTTGAGTGAAAAATTCCCAAACTTCATCGCCTCTCATTTAAAGGCGACATATTCCTTCCCCTAAATTTTGAGTTTTTTCCTCTTAAGAAAATTTTAGTTATTTGCAAGTTATTAAATTTTGAGTTTTTTTTACTCTTTAAGAAAAGTTTAGTTAAAATTTTAATTATTTGTAAATTATTAAAATTTAAGTTTTTTTCTCTTAATAAAATTATAGTTATTTACAAATTATAGGCAGAGGTTAGTTATTTACAAATTATAGGCATGGAGTTAAAGTCAGATAAGCTAAAGTTTAAGTGAGTTTTGCGAGACACTCATAATTTAGGAGGTAAAGTCAAAAAAAAAGTCCACGGGGTTATGTGCAATATCCCCCAGGAATTTGGTGAAATTAACCCACTAAGCAACTTCGTTTAACTTAACAGCTAAACAGAAACTTATAAAAGCATTAATAACTACATTAATTAGAGTATTAATATCTCAAACTTTTAATTTTGAGCTTTGCTACAGTGACCCAAAATATGGGACCAATGGAGGGGACAAGCGAGGTGTCCCCCTCCTATTGGATAATGAGTTGGCCATCATTAATGATCGCCAACTCATTATCCAATAGAAAAAAAACACCTCACTTGTCCCCTCTATTGGTCCAATATTTTAAATCCTTGAGTAATTTTTCTTTAATTTTACTTTATAATTACTACACATATATACACACACACAACCAAAAAGGAATTTACTGGGCCGGAGAAGTTTTAACGGTTTGGGATTGTAGGACTTTACCCTGGGTTAGAGGGAGACCTTCCAGAAATTCTCGACGGCCCAAGGCTGAACCAAGGGCCGAGGAGGGGGTTTGGAAATAGTTTTCAACCAGCAACTGACGCGCCTCGGTTTTTACCTCACTAGCTGCGTCATTGCCCCAAGCGCAAAGATAAACTCAACAAAGGCCATCGACCCCTCCTTTATAATCACGCTCCTCTCTCTGTTATCTACCCGCCGCCGATGTGGGACTAATTGAAACCCGCTCCTTCTTTCGTATCACGATTCGACGAATCAGCAGCAAGCACCCGGTCGCGGATGAATTGGGCCGGGTTTCGTTAAGACTACTTGGCATCTTGTTCACCTAAACATTACTGTGGCTCTATCCTTTGAGTATCTGTGGCTCTATCCTTTGAGAATCTGCTGATGTCAGTTTCTTTACTTGATTTTTTTTTAGTGTCTTCTTCTAAACGTTGTTTCTGGGTCAAAAGATACTCCAATTTTCAATAAAAATCCAAAGTAGTAAGGAACTCTTAATTTTCCCCTTTACTAATTTTCTCTTTTAAACTGCCTCTATAGGTTTTTTGAACATTATCATATCCTCTACCTGTAATATTAAAAAGGGTTAATTTTGCAAAACTCCCTAAATTATTTTTATCTCACTCCCCCCTACACACACGCACACAAACAATATCTCTATTGGACGTCTCACAAAACCTCCCTGAACTTCTGCATATCTCACTTTTTGGAAATAACTAAAATATCTAAACTTTCGTTTACCTCACCTAGCCCCTTGCCTGTAATTGAAAAATTCTCAAACTTCATTGCCTCTCATTTAAAGGTGACATATTCCTTCCCCTAAAATTTGAGCTTTTTACTCTTAAGAAAATTTTAGTTATTTATAAATTATAGGCGGGGAGTTAAAGTGAGATAAGCTAAAGTTTAAGGGAGTTTGGAGAGAGACTCATAATTTAGGGGGTCAAGTGAGAAAAATAAAGTCCACGGGATTATGTGCAATATCCCATTAGTTTAGGATTTTGTGAAATTAACCCATTAAACAACTTCGTTTAACTTAACAGCCAAAGTGCCAAACAGAAACTTATTAAAGTATTAATAACTACATTAATTAGAGTGTTGTTATCTCAAAATTTGAATTTTACTTTATAATTGCTATATATATATACACATAAAAGATTTTACTGGGCCAGAAAAGTTTAACAGTTTAGGATTGTAGGGCTTTACAAATATTTTACTGGGCCAGAAAAGTTTTAACAGTTTAGTATTGTAGGGCTTTACCCTGGGTTAGAGGGAGCCCTTCCAGAAATTCTCGACGGCCCAAGGCTGAACCAAGGGCCGAGGAGGGGGTTTGGAAATAGTTTTCAACCAGCAATTGACGCGCCTCGGTTAATACCTCATTAGCTGCGTCATTGCCCCAAGCGCAAAGATAACTCTCCGAAGGCCATCGACCCCTGCTTTATAATCACGCTCCTCTCTCTGTTATCTACCCGCAGCCGATGTGGGACTAATTGAAACCCGCTCCCTGTTTCGTATCACGATTCGACGAATCAAGCAGCAAGGACCCGGTCGCGAATGAATTGGGCCGGGTTTCGTTAAGAATATGACTACTTGGCATCTTGTTCACCTAAACATCACCTTGGCTCTATCCTTTGAGAATCTGCTGATGTCAGTTTCTTTACTTGATTTTTTTTTTAGTGTCCTCTTCCTAAATCCAACTTCAGAATAGTACGAAAGACCCTTTAAGTGTTAATCAATACATAAATTATTTTTAGATTGGTTTATGTTCCTATCAACTACATTCTAGTCAAAATTTTATTAAAAACTTTTAAAGAAACTCTTTAAAAGTTTAAATTGAATGTAGGTGGCTTCTGTCCTGACTAGACCTGACATAAACAAAATGAGTCGTATGTCTTAAATGTGAGTTTTTAAAATGTATTTTTGAGTTTTAATTAAAAAAGTGGTTATGAGATTGTTAATTGTAGCACAATTCAACTTTAAAGGCACATGGTTTATGTATTAACTAGTTTTCAAAGATAATTTTTGTATAATGATTCTATTTTTAATTATGGTTTACAGGAAACAAGACATTTTTCTTACGTAACTAACTGTATACAAGTTTTTTGTTTTGTTTTGTAATACTTTTGGTAAAACGTGAAACCTCCATACCGTGCAATTTGTTTTCCGATGTGTTTTTCAGTAGGAAATAC